AGGAAGAGACCAGTACCGATAGTACCGCCTGCGACGATGTGTCAGAACAACTGCGGCCCCTGCACAAGGCGAAGCTCGATCAAAGTGACATACCGATGGCAATGAACTGCAGGTGACGACTGTTGAGGTCTCGCTGAAGACCACCCGTCTCGCCATTCTCCAAATCGGTCTTGGAGGCATTGGGAGTAACCTCGCCCTCACTCGTCTGAGGAGTCTTTTCCTTGGAGCCGAACATGGTGATGGCTATGTTTGGCTTGGTAAATCGAAGTCGGCACGGGGTACGCTTCGTTCACGGACTAGAGCGACAAGTCTCGTCGTCCGCGGCCAGAAGCAATGAGCACACTCGAAAGGATTGAGGGGACGAAGGAAGCCTGTTGATTCGCTTCTCCAGAAATCACCGGACGCATGTGCAAACGAAAACCTGGGGGGACAACAGGAGAGGTGCCGCCCCGAACGAAAAGCTCATGGCATGATTAAATACAATACGGGCCTTCTCTTACCCAACAGGTTCCACTCCGCGTCGACTCATCGCGACCGGTAACGGTGGTCATGCTTGGAAAAATCTCGAGCAGTGGACCGCGCTGGCGGCTGGACAGACTCGCACGTACACACAGTCACACACACACAAAGGCCTCGCTCGAGACCCTCTCCTTGGCTTCGCTCGTTGCGGGTTGGCCGATGGAGACGCGATGGTCTCACGCTGAAAGGCTCCATCACGCCCTGGTAGTGCGATTCGGGAGTCGGCCGGCCACGGGTAACAACGGCGTTGTCCAGGGGGTTTGCCTGTCGACCAAGAGCGATGTGGGAAATGGAGCGTGGGGATCAGCAGCTGTAGCAAGCAAGCAGGCAATGACATGCCATTCCGCTGCACGGCACGTCGACGCCCTCGCCGCCGCCTGCAGTTCGTCCGATCGGCCGGCATAAGCGTGTCTATTCCCATGGCTGGCTGCCCCGTCACCAAAGAGATCAAAGTCTGCGAGTCCTCCCACGCCGCCGCCCTTGCGCCACCCGATTCCCACCGAGCTTGGACCGAGCCCTTTTCGTCCTCCTCTCTTTTTTTCCCTGGAAAATCTCCGATTTTTCTCTCCGCATGGCCAATCATGATGGTCCAATTCCTGCAGAGTCACGGCACCCGCAAGCTCTGCCCAGCTGCTGGGCGGGTAGAATTTTTCTCGAACATTTTTCTCACCACCATTGTCCATTTTCAGCTAGAGATAACAAGCTTCTTCCAACCGATCCTATTGATGAGCTTGTCGGTCTTTGCCAAGTTTGTCTCGACTCTGGGCAGTCTGACTCTCTCGTTCCTCCAGCTCGGACATGTCCCCCCAAACGATCTGTGTACCCCGGCCGCCGGTGGGTGATACGTTGCAGCACCGCGGTCTCCCGCAGCCGACCGCCATTGTCGTCACCAAGAGGGCACTGTACTATTTGCTGTCGTTGTCAGCCCTATGACGCCCAAGAAGCCTTGTACGTCGCGCCTTGGAGTGACAATACAGCAGACCAGACCGCGCTAAGTCGAGCAACAAAAGGTGACTCGCAGGATTTCGTTCCTTGGTCTACCTCACTTGGCGTTTCCGCCCGGCTCCAACAAGTCTGATGATGGACCGCGGGCGCGGCCTTCTAGCGACTAGCGAGGCGAGAGGATATTTGCCCCAAGCTCCCATCCCAACTCATCCCATCCCCAAGCTCGAAAATTTCTTCTCCCTAGTTTTCATTACGTCTTTTTGTGGAAACATTTGCAGAATTTTTCTCACGGTCGGAGCGGGCCGTCGAGACACTCGAGATTTGATGCTGAAAGCTCAGAGATAATGCATTTTCTTTTGTCAATTCAGTGAGCAAACTGCATGTCACTGCTTTCTGATTCGAGCTTTGATGGCTTGCTCTTCTCTGCTCGACTTGCGACCATCGTCGTTCGGGGGTCCCCATCCCATGCCTGCATGCCATCCGGGAAGTGGTGCCGGCTTGCCGTTCAATGCTCGGAGATGAGAATTTTGTGGACAGCAGTTCCGGTCCCGTGTCGGCTTACGATCAGTTCTATTTACCCGGCGCTCGCTCTTTCCTTTTTGGCTGTTGCAGACTGCCCGACTCATCTGGATCCGAAAGTTGCTTCCGCTGCCGGCACTCGATGCCGGATAGAACATACGAGAGCCGGATCCGAACCCGGCTTTGATTTTCCGACCCGTCTGATCAACCGATATGCCTTGCACGTCGGGATGTGTACAGATGTTGTTGCTCAACATTACTGCCTCATATTCGCATACGAAGAATCTGAATCACTCTCTTGACTTGACCGAGCTGTGCGATCTTTCCAATTTGCACTTTTGATTGATGCATGTATCAGTAGTTGCCTCAGTGGTGGTTAAAATTGCTGTGCAACCAACTCTACAAGGTTTTGCTGGACTCGTAGGCAATAGGACACCCTCTGGGTGGGTTAAAAATGCAGTGCTGGGATCTAAGCCTGAGGGCCTTACGGACATGGAGCCAACAGATGCATGAGTCCTATGTCGTTCGTTCTAGACGTGATAGGACATTGACATTATTGTTGTATGATTCCATCTGCCCTCAATGGTATCATGTCACTGGGCAGAATCAACATAGAAGCTGGCCGACAATCTATATTTCCACGTGTTTTCCACGCCGTGTCAAATGACAGATCGCGGGCAGAGTCGGCCGAGGCGGGATAAAACCCGAGCGCTATCGACCACCAACCGCGCAGTGTGGATTTGGCGATAGTGGCAGCGACCAAGATTCATGTGTAGATGTCTAAACTTAGTCGCTCAACTTTTGCACTTCACGTCTTTCAGGGCGGTTTTATTTGCAGTGAAGACGTGGGTGGGCTGAGTAATGCTCTCATTGGCCCCCAGTAAGACCGTGGCGTCGGCGTCGGTGTCGACGTTCCCTCTGGAGGAGTTAAAGTTGCAGTGAATAAATAAGGTAAAGCAAGACTGTGATTGGTACTGTTCAACTCAAGCGTCTGACATTGACCCGCGTCCGTTGGTGTAAAAATTGCATTGAAAGTGTAGGACTGCGATAGTCCTGTCCAAAGCATGTCATTTTCATGGCTTGGTGATCTCAAAGCAATTACGGGGTCGGCGGCCAGCTTGGGGCCGCGCCGGGTCAGAAACTACCACATTGAAGCTAGGTCTCAAAGTTGGCGTGCTTGCTCGGCAATTGCACTTTCGTCCCATAAGCTGGCCTGCTCTCCGTACACTCCACGCTCTGCATTGAGTTCGATCTACGTCGGCTACGGCAGAGGCTCTTCAAAGACGGCTGGAGTAGTCCACAGCTAACACCGAGCGCTTTGTTGCGTTTCGACATTTCTCCTCTCGTGAAAGACGTCACTAGGACCGGGTGTGTAGCACATGTACGAAATGGCGTGGCGCCTGGCAGCATCAGTAGACTCGCAATAACTTTTACGACCACACACCCAGACACATCGAGGGTACACGTACTGTAATCTTCAAACATTTATCAACATGGCAAACCTCATCGCGCTCGAAGAACATTACGTTTCTCCCCTCCTCGACGTCAAGAGAGGCGGGGCCCCAAGTCCCGACACATTCGGGCCCGTCATAGTGGAAAAGCTGGGGGACATTGGCCCGGCACGCCTCCGTGATATGGCCGACAACTCCGTTGCCATGACGGTCCTCTCTCACTCACCGATTCATCCCGATCCCGAAACCTGCAAAGCCATTAATGATGATCTACATTCCAAGATCATTCACCATCCGGCCGAGTACGCCGCCTTTGCAGTCTTGCCGATGCACGAACCTGTCGCGGCCGCCGCTGAGCTCCGGCGCTGCGTCCAGGATCTAGGCTTCGTAGGCACACTCACGGGAAACCACCTCGATGACGGCAGCTTCTTCGATACACCCGATTTCTCCTCTCTCTGGGAGACCGCACAGGATCTAGACGTGCCATTTTACCTACATCCAACATTCCCATCCGATGAGGAATCCAAAGTCAACTTCCACGGCCCCTACGACCCCGAGATTGTAAAGGCGTTGGGGAGCTGGGGGTGGGGCTGGCACTCCCGAACAGGTCTCCACTTCCTCCGCCTCTTCGCTGCCGGCGTATTCGACAAATTCCCGAAGCTCAAAATCGTTCTCGGCCACATGGGCGAGATGCTCCCCTTCATGCTGGATCGCATCATCGATATGTCTGCGAGGTGGCCATCACCCGGGGGTCGGGAGCGAGAGCGTGGGCTGAGAGAGGTATGGGACGAGAATGTGTGGATTACGACGAGTGGCATGTTTTCGCTGGCGCCGATGGCGTGTCTTTTGCAGGAGACAAAGGTTGAGAGAATCATGTTTAGTGTTGATTATCCGTTTGCTGGTAATGATGCGGGAAAGGAATTTATGAATAAGCTGAAGGGGAGCGGGCTTGTGAGTGAGGATGAGTGGGAGGGGATTGCGTGGAGGAATGCCAAGGGGCTTTTGAGGTTGAAGTTTGAGCCAAATAATTGATTGTGGTGAGTCCGAGATGCGATCCTGGCATTTTGGGCATTCGTTGCTGGACGAATTGGAGATCGGTTATTCAACTTAGTTGGGACTATGTGCAAGTTGAAGTTGCTTGACAAAAGGATGTTGATCTTGGAATATAGACGACAATCACTCAATGCACCCTGTTGTAGCACCGTAAGATGAATGGGATTGCTATGGCAATTCCACAACGAGATACTCCATTCATAAGTAGAAATGAGAAATAAGCGCGAGAAAGCTCACATTGAGGTGCCATATGTGGCTGAAGATCGCATCAGAGGCGATTGGTAAGCTGAGTGTCTCGGTAACTATTCTCGAGCCACCCAGCTTAGCAATCGCCTCTGATACGATCGGCGAGAGTTGGCGGGGTGCCCGCCTCGCAACACTGCTCATTCATCATCATCCCCGAACTCGCGAGTGCCCAACAGCTTGGCATAATCCGCAATCATCCTTGAGGGCGTCACTATCAATCAATCATCGACTTCGATACATTGTAGGGCTTCGGTGCCGCTTTTCACCATGACGCTCTCACTCCCAAAGATTGGGATCCTTTCCGTCGGAGACATGGGGATGGGCATCGCTAAACTGCTTGTCTCCAAAGGCTTCTTAGTCGCCACAAATGGTCAAGGTAGGAGGTGAGAATGAAATCGAACTTATTCTGAGAAGGGCCTTCTTCTGTTAGCTAGGGGCTTACATCATGATAGCCCGGCAACAATCGCCAGAGCCCGCAGCGCCAACGTTGAGGTCCTAAGCTCCGACGTTCACCTTGTTGAGTCGCGACCGTTCATCCTCTCCGTCGCACCACCGCGAGACGCGCTCAGCATCGCTCGACGCATCATCGACGCGGCAGCAACAACAAAACTAGAAAAGCCGCTTTACTTCATCGACCTCAATGCCGTCTCGCCAGCCACCTGCAAGCAAATGAGCCAGATGTTCAAAGAAGCCAAGAGTCCCGTCCGTTTTGTCGATGGCTGCATCATCGGCGGGCCGCCAAATCTCAAGCTCAATAGCGCAGCGGAGCAATGGTACGTCCCAAGCATGCCGGCATCCGGACGGTATCCCATCAGCGAAGCATGCGCAGAGCTCGCAGAGGCATTGAACATGCGCCACATCTCAACCGAGGTCGGCGCAGCGAGCGGGTTGAAGATGTGCTTCGCGACGACGACCAAGGGCTTCATGGGTTTGGCGATTCAGGCATTCACCACAGCGTCCAAGCTCGGTGTCGTGGATGAGCTGCGCAACGAGATGAGTGAGGCGGCGCCGGGCTTGCTCGATTTTGCTGAAAAGTCTGTCCCGCTTGTGCCGCCAAAGTCGTACCGGTGGGTGCGGGAGATGGAGGAGATCTCCAATACCCACCGCGCCGAGGGCGGCTTTGAGGCTGAGAATGATGTGTTCCGCGGCATGGCGGATGATCCCGTCCTAGGTACCGAGAAGGTTGGGGAGAGGAAACGGGGGACGACGATCGACGATCTGGCTGCTGCGCTTGGGGACGGCTTGGCCACCAGAAAGCAAGATAAGTCTGATTGAAGCTTAGTGTAGAGATACGTTGGACGATCATCCAAGCCAAACCCCGTAGAGAGACATAATTGATGTTCTTGTGCGCTTCATCTTGGGTCTACGGGCTGCTGGTTCCGGTCTCATAGGTTGATTACCCCGCGATGCAGTCATGGCGCTAAATCGGTAGGTCTCAGTTATTGCCAGCTTGAAATGCTCATCAATGTCAGCGCCCGCACTTTCGGATTCTTCCCTCTTCCCCAATATCCTCCGACCAGTCCTGCTATTCACGAAGCTGCTCGCACAGAATCTTTCTTGCGTGACCATAGGCAACACCAACGATGAGGCTCGACCTGGGGGACTCGGCAAGCAATGGCTTCACAGCGGGGCCAGGATCGTCCTCAAGGGCATGGGATCGCGACGTGAAGCTCCCGCCCGAGGAACCCAGCTTGCATCTCTGCTCAAGACACCGCGTCATGGACCTTAAACAGTCCGATTTTGCAGCTAGGCCTCAGAAACACGCCCTGCCGCCCGACTGGCACTTTGGTACTTTATCAGACGTTATCAAACGGAGCGATTATTGCAGGTTCTGCAAGATGATCGCCTCATCCGTCTCTACGAACAACTACAAAGACGACGTCGAGGTTCTGGGCTGTTGGGTTCCTGATGTGACCTTTGAGGGATCCGATGGAAATGGTACAGAGGAGACGACGATGAACACGCTGAGGCTACGGATTGCTCCGGAGATGGTGGGATGGGAGGACGCTTTTGCCCCGTTTGATATTGTTCCTCTGGCTAACAAGTCGGAGAACGATATGTTCAAGGGAAGGTTCATCGACGAGAGGTCTATTGACGGCGACCTTCTTAAGACATGGCTGCGGACTTGCGAAGAGAAACACCACATCGTCTGCTGGCGCAAGGACGAGCACGCCGTCGGCCCCATCGACCCATTCATTCGACTTTTGGATCTCAAAGACAATTGCCTCGTTCAGAAGTCTGATCTCCCAGAATTTGTCGCGCTGAGTTACGTCTGGGGTAGAGGGGCAGTGAACTACAAACTCACAACTGATAATATTGACGAACTCTTCAAGCCTGGCGGACTAAGCAACAATTTCGACAAGCTGCCCAAGACGATTCAAGACTCCATCAAGCTGACTACCCTTCTCGGTCACCGATATCTGTGGATCGACTCACTCTGCATCATTCAGAAGGGCAACGATGACGACAATAAGGTACAGCTTGCACTCATGGACGTTATCTATAGCAGAGCCTCTTTCACGATTGTTTCCGCCAATGGCGAAGATGCGAATGCTCGACTATCCGGCAGTCCTGGAATCGACAGGAGTAAGAAGCAGTATACCGCCGAGTACTCGTCCGACCTGACACTTCTCTCTCTCGTCCCCGACTTCGAGGACGGGGTTCAGCAAATTTACTGGAACACGCGCGGTTGGACGTACCAGGAACGACTACTCTCACGCAGGCTCGTCTTCTTCACCGACAACATGGTCTACTTCCAATGCGGCCAGATGACTTGCAGCGAAGACTTCAACATGCTTCGCGACGATGTCACCCAGAGCGCCTCCCAGCAGAATATCACCTTGTCTCGCGGGGAGGCGCCGCCGACTCTGACCCGGCGCCACCAGTATCGCCTAGGCATCTCGCCCGAATTCTACTATCGCATGGTCACGGAGTACACATCACGCGAGATGAGTCACACAGATGACCGCGTCAATGGTTTCAAGGGTATCTTGAACGTCATCGAAAAAGTGCCCGAGTACAAAGGGGTCTTTGTATGGGGTACCTGGGCGAAAGATTTGCTTGCTTTTTCTCTGTTGTGGCAGCCGCGACAGGAACTCAGCAGGGTAGTCAAGTACAAGTCCGATCCGCCACTTATTCTCTATCCGTCATGGTCATGGGCAGGCTGGACGGGAGCCGTTCGCTTTGACGACCTTGACGACTGGAACGGCTTGCCTGCCCTCGAGAGTACGTTCGATCGGGTTCGTCCAGCAGGCTGGGGCGTCTCTCTTGAGCTGAACAAGAAAGAGACATTAGAAAAACACGACTTTTACTTACGACTACGAACTAGGGTTGGGAAATTCAGGCTCACTCTTCACGATAGGAGCGGAGCCCTAAAGCCACCCTCGCTGCCGGATGTCAAGGAACCCCCTGTTCGCTTTGGTGTCACGCACTCTGCCGCCCGGAGGCAAGGAGGCGAGGACGAATGGCTTGGGTCTATCCTGATGCCCAAAAGCTATAGGCAGAAGCTGGGAGGTCCCTATGAGTTTGTTGTTCTCTCAGACGCGTACGGCTTCTCGGGAGAGGAGCTCTCGAGCCATGCCAGCCAAAAGCCTTGGGAGGCTGTCAACGTGATGTTGATATGTCGCAGTGGCACGAAGGGACAAGATCCAAAGGTTGTTCCGGTTGTTCAACGGGCTGGCGTGGGCAGGATGTTGAAGTCTGCATGGGACGAGATCTCAACGGAGCTGGAGGAGATCTTGGTCGAGTAAGTTCTACAACTCGCTTTCGGGTAACAAGCAACGCAACTTTCGACAGTCCCAACATGCTGTAGATCCAAAGCCGAGAAGCAGGGCACTAGGTCTAACCTTAGTTGTCACCAACCCAAGAAATGGACGATGTCTAGAGACTGTGAGCAAAGGTGGCATTTGATATGAGTGAAATTCAAGTGGATTGAGATTTGTTAAAGTATATACACTGAATATAATCTGACAGAAGCTTTTCTGGTAGCCAAATTTCCTCCAACCCAGACCATGGTGATCAGGAATAGTAAAACCGAGTGTTTGTAAAGCCGATGCCCAAGCATCCTCGACAAAGGGATTCCAAAGGAGCTTCGATGATGAACCTCAGCCATCATCTGGACCCCTCTCATTTCCCTATTAGTGACCGTGGCCACCATAGCCACCACCGTATCCGCCTCCCTTTCCACCGCCGTACCCGCCGCCGCCGTACCCTCCACCACCGTACCCTCCGCCGCATTTGTATCCACCCTTGCAGTTGCCGTACCCGCCGTTGCCGTAGCCACCGCCCCCGTAGCCGCCGCCCCCGTGACCATACCCACCTCCACCGTACCCGCCGCCACCGTATCCTCCACCCTTTCCGCCGCCGTAACCTCCGTAGCCACCACCGCCGCCCTTATTGTTTAGGATATCAACTCCACCTTCCTTGTTCTTATCTTCACCGGGAAGACCGGCCTCATCTCGCTTGCCGAGGTCGTTGTCCTTCTGGTCGCTCTTTGCCTCGTTGGAGCCCTGAAGACCGTGGCCGCCTTTGCCGTGGCCGTAGCCACCGCCATTGCCGTAGCCGCCTCCGTTGCCGTATCCACCACCACCGTACCCACCGCCTCCGTAGCCGCCACCGCCGTATCCACCGCCTCCCTTGCCACCGCCGTAGCCTCCGTAGTCGCCGTAGTCGCAACCCTCGTCTCTGCCGCCTCCCTTACCGCGCTTGCATTTGCTGTTATTATGGTATTGATCTTGATTGTTTTGTTTCTTGTCGTCGCGTGCTTCGAGTTGGGATCCTTCGCTTGGTTCATCGCGAGCGACGATGGCGTCGCGTAGGGTCTGAGGGTTACGATATCAGCACGGCAGTCCTTTGATTCTTGAGGAGGAGTCATACCGGTAAATCAACATCAGGCTATCATTGTTTCAAATAGTCAGTGAGTGACTTATGAGGGAAAATGATGTCCGGAAGGGATAGCAATCAAGATATAAGGCGAGTGGGACGATGTGCTCCCTAGAAGTTACATGTACTTACAGCTGCCTCAGGAGAACGCTATCTAAATGTCAGAATCTTTCCGAACACGAGTAAATAGGATAGCTTCAGACTTACTTCGACAAGGTCACCTGTCTCGAACCTAGGCTCGGCGATTGGCTGAGCTACTGGTGCAGCTACAGCAGCGATGGCATAGAAAGCCATGCCAATCGTGGCAGTTTGGCTGAAAGACGGGATATGCATAATTGCAGATTTGAAAAATGAAATAAAAGGTTCGAAGTTGAGTTATTGAAGTGATGCTTGAGTCAATCCACTAAAGGTGAGGATGTGATGAAGAATCAACAATCAAGGTGAACCGAGAACAACGTACTTATACTCGAGATGAATGAAATTGCCGTTGGCGTAAAATAAGAACGATGTCTCCAAGTTACTTCTTGTCCATAGTAATCCGCGGCTGAGTTGCGCCCAGCTGAACTCGGCTTCGGGAATAACTTGCACCTTGTGAGTTGCAAATACGGCAACGCGAGATGCGGACGACAACGCGAGGTGTGGTGATAGTCCAGTCAGCCGCTCAGTACCAAAAGTCAACCCCTTCCCAAGGCTATCCATGGAAGGAAACTATGATCTGCAAAGGCTTAAATCACGCAAAGAAAAAGTATCTGAGTAAGAGATCCGAAGATTAGAGTTATCTGCGTGCATAGCTAAGCAGAGCCGCCCACCAACTTCAGCCATCCGATCTAAGGTAGGGGGAACATTCGGATGTGAGGGGAAGACAAGTTATCGTCCACGGTTTGCAGCCGCTGATAAACTTGGCGTGACACACCCGCGGAATCAGCTTTCATCCAGATGAACAGTGGTGCAAGAACCAAGTGTAGGATTTGCATCAATGCTTTTTGACAGTTTGGTTGACAGCGCTTCGTAAAGCAAACGTCCGAGAGACAATCAGGGAAATTTAGTATCCGAAGCTTCCTTTGTGCCTTTCATAGAACCGCCCAAGAGTAACGAACACCTCGTACGTTCAAAGCTCTGGAAAAGCCAGCAAGTCTTCAAATCCATGGTATGGCCCTCTTTATCTACAGTAAAGCATCCATTGCTCAAATGATCTTTCGGTAGGCTAGGCCCCTCGCAATGAGTCGCTTGCAATCCAATTTTCAGGATCCGAAAGCTAGAGCTCGGTTTCATGCCGATTAATCAGGTCTAGATGCGGAGTAGGCCGCTTACTACCGTCAAGAGAGGCTGAAGCAGGCCAATTGAGGGGACCAAATTTTGCCGCAGGTTCGCCCTCCGGCAGCTTCGTAAGTCGATGATCATTCCGATAGGTCTTAGTCACACCATGAGGTAGGCGGCATAAACCACATGAACTTTCTTGATTTACAGTAGTTGAATGGCTCTCCACTCAACATACATCGTGATCCCTAACCGCTTGTTTCATGTCCCGAAGCTCAACTGGTGGCCGCGTCAACTGTTCACAGTCTAATTGAGTTGGCTCGGACCTCCGAACTGCTCTGCAAAATGTCACCGAGCCCCTCCACACCTATAAACAAAGGCAAGAATGTCAACTTTGAGTTGACTTGGCAGACGTCAACACCATGATCTGCACTACCCTAAAGACTCTTTCTATCAACCGGCAACTTCGGTTGTCAGCAAGCGCTACCAGCACTCCAGAATCCATTTCCGTATGAGAGATTACACTCGACACCGAGATTGAGGTTCATGTAGGACTCATCATCCGAGGCAGTACAGTAGAGGAAGGAAGCGAGACCGAGCAGCATGAGGCGACAATGTGGGAAGAATGAGGTCGCGACCAACTATGCCAGCCCAGCCCCGTTGCGGCTGGATGGCATCCTACGAGCTGGGCACATGTCGGTGAATACCACAGGAGGCCTTGTTGCTCAACCTCACCATGTGAGTTTTCCAGCCCTCGTGCTCGTACAGCATCAAAGCCCCACACGAGATCCAGGCCTCGATAGTTCACGCTGAGGTCATGATCCTTTGGTCATCGCGTTCGGCTGGTGTGGAGTTTGCAGCTTAGGATTTAAGCACGTGAGCACGCCACCGGCCCAAACTTTCGCGATCCCATCGGAGAAAGTTTGCCAGATATTTCATGCGGGACCTCATCTGTTGAGAAATTCGTCCATTCATCAGGTAAAGTCTCGTTGTGCTGAGTGTCGATGTGTCAGCAGAGCTACTTGAAGCTAGACTCCGCCTTGCAATGCGGTGGGCATGGATATGACTGAACAACTAAGCACGGACCGAATGTTGAATCCCGTAGGTTGATGATTCACCCAACTTGTCTCCGAGGATGGCAATTTGAGATCATCCGACGACATCACTTACACGTCGTCCAAGATGTACACGCCAGCCATTGGTAGCTGACCTGAGTGAGGAATCCCGACGTATGATCATCAATCTCCTTTAGAGCCCCTGAATGCGTCAACTGTCTCATGAAATGCTCCGTATTAGTTTGGTTACACTCTAGGTTACATTTGCAGCTTTCCGACATGGGGATTGAGTAGTGACTTTGGGTTGGATATTCAATGCTGTTTTTTTTGCCCCTGGCCTGAACCACAGTTTGCCCATGCTGAACTTAATGGTGTGAAATTCAGGCAGTGTGGTGTTGATCAAAGCTTGAAATTACATTATGTGAAGTCCAGCCCATTGAGAACAAGCTTGATTTGGGTTCAAGGCCTGGACCCTGACTTCGCATTCGGGGCTTATTAGTTGATCAGTCAGGGCCCTCAAGACCCTCACACCATCACTTGTAGACTCGATCTGGGCCGTTCTCTGGGAGCTTGACCGTGTTGACCGCCGCTGTAGTGAAAGCACACTTCCCAACGCCCCCAGTCATACTGAGAACTCCCCACTGAACAGGTAGCAGATAGCCGCCATCCTGATCTTCCTGCAGGACGTGACAAGCAGCACTTATTGCCAGACTATTGGTCGACACCATTGGCATTGTGCCATCATAGCGTCGCAGCCCCATACCGATGATAATGATGACGAGAAGGAGCCCCGCAAGCAATGCTAAGCCTCTAGGTCAGAAACCACAGGCACGTTCGAGAGTAATGAATGGCAATGGAGGTCGACTTACTGACAAACACAGCTATAGGACTATAGCCACATGTCGAGAAAGAGTTGACATCATCGTCACTCCCGTCTGTGGTTATGGCACGAATTCGTGCCAAGAAAAGGCTCTGTGACACCAGCCAATGCATGATGCCCGAGCTAGCATAAAGCGGAATCCCATATCTCAAGGGCAGGGAAATGAAGTAACTTGATCGTTGGATCCCTATTGGTTCGGAAACTCTCAACGGCTTCCTATTGCCCGGATCCCACATGCGACTGAACTCCCTTTGAACTAAAAAGGTGCTCAGCATAGTATTGTAGACGATGTACAAGATCGACAGGACGAGTTGAGGCAAGTTGGCCAATAGCACATTAGCTATCAACCCTCCTGGGTCTGTACGAGGCATATTGATCACCAAGTAGGTGTAAGGCGTCAAGGCTCCAAAGCCTAGCTTCCACAACTGTGGTATCCTTACACCAAACCCTCTTTGTCTCAGGCTTACGAACGACATCGTCAAAAGTACAGCTGCAATTATGATTACAAGAAGACACCTGAGGAAAAGTAAGTCAGTGAATTCAGTATCAGAAAGCAAAAAGTCAGTGTTCCTACATGGCCAGCATGATAACCCAACGTCTGAGGCTTGCAGAGGATCTCCACTGCTTTGGGTTCTTTTCAAAAACCCGCGGCTGAGGTCTTACTCGGAGTATCGTTGGAGAGGATCTAATAAAACGGTTGCGCAACGTTCGGGTAGTCAAAAAATCGTACTTTGTCGCAAGTCCCATATCGATAGTTTGCTCGCATGGTTCCCGCATGAAAGAGGCTATGGCATCGCCCAAGGTGTATAAGACCTCCTTCGCCTGATTTTCCTTTCTGGGATTCTGCCATCTCCTCATGGCCCATATTGACAGCATGATGGCCGCTTTGATCATGTTCATGATGCAAATAGTGAACATGATGGGAGGCGAATATTCAAACCGACAATTTGCGCTGAGCCCTTCTGGCGGCTGAACGATACATCGTGACACCTCGTAGTATGGAGGCCCAAGGAACCATTTGGTTACGGGCTTTGGTGGTGACAAAGCCGCAAAGTGACCAGTGCCATTACCTAGAGCCCACATGTTCTTGGACCAGTCGTCTGAGCGAGGGACAATGGAAACATACAAGAGCAGACTATCCTCTGGCGGGCTCTGTAAAGTTTCATTCTTGACCAGAATGATCGCGTTTCCTTGGGGATTAAAGTAGTCGTCATACAAGTCGAAACAAGCTGATATGTTGCGTTCATCGTAGATGGATGCATTCCTCTGTATTGCTCTTACTACTTCTTCGTAGTCTAAATTTGAGGGGTTGACTCGGGTGTCTTCCCAGCCGTAGTCGCCAGCTCGATTGTCTTCTGCTGTCTTCAAGCTCCATGAAGCATGGTTCAAAAAGGAATCTTTGACAACGACAACAGTGTAATTGTGAGATGAAAGTGACTGGAACACAGCCGAGTTGTATCTTCACGTTGCTGGTGTGAGTGGATGACTGAGTGTCTCGAAAAGCAAAGGGACTGGAGCATTCTTACATGAGATGGATAGGAATCGAGGTCAACGCCAACAATGCCCACGAACACCGCCTCCACAAGCTGAGATATTTCAGGTTTCGAAGGCTAGGAATGCCAATGTCCAGCCATTTGTCTTTCGCATGAGCAGCATTCACGTTCTCGCGTGTTGGCGCAGCCTGCAGTTGCATGCAATAGTTTGAAGCCGATAGCATGCCTGTTCCCAACAAATTGATGAGCAAATGCAACCATTGGTCAAGCCTTTTCACGGTTGAGCAGTCGCCCTCGTATATCAACCCGACACCATTGCGGCTTCCGTAGCTTTTGACAGCAAAAATAGTCACACCGAGGTTGGTCATCAGTATGAAACCGATAATCCCAATCTGGACCATGAGAGCACGGCTTCTTCGTGAAAACCATATGCGCCAACTGCTGTTTTCGTCGCTTTCTATCTGAGGAAACCACCCTGACAAGGTGTTTCTGTCGGCAAACTGCTGGGCTTGAAAACTCTCGGCTCTTTCTTCTAGGGTTACGGGATCATTGTCGCGTCGGTTTCTTTCATCTACGCTCTCGTTCGGAGGTGTTTCAGGTAATATTGCGGTCGTCGTGGGTGACTCATTGGGTGTTTCTCTTCGAATCACAAGCCCAGCGGCTGGCTGCGCAACTAGTGCAATTCTGCGACAAATTTGGTTAGCTGAAGAAACGGCGATCAATAAGGTAAGAAGCAGACGGTTGCACACTCCACTGAAATTGCATCGAATTCAGTCATAGTTGCTGATCTAACGGAGTGATCATGCCTTGCATACGCCTTCGAGGTCTACATGACAGTAAGGTAGGGTCAACAAGATGTCGAAGGGACCACAGGAATAGGAGCACATCAGATTAGAGAGCGAGACAAGGAAATAAGGGGGCGTAAGGCTCTCGTCGACTTTGGATCAGGCTCTATCTTTAAATGCTATGTGCTCAGCTGCCAAATCCAGCTGCAAGTCCATGGGTTGCGTCTTGCTTATGCTGTGCTCCGAGACTTGCATGTGTAGCTTCACTTGATTGGCTGGGCTGTTGGCCTGTAGGTTGAATGTATCACTGGAACATGATTGGTAGCGTGATTACGACATGGAGTATTTATGGTGATGATTCGAGAGCCAGGCGCAGCAGCGATTGGCCATATCACAGTCCACCCCATTCATTAGAGTACTAGTAAGAGTCAAATTGCCATTCCCGCCGGCTATTCACTTCGACATTAAGAATATTTGGGACCCAGCGTATTTGTTTATCATTTCACATAGCGATTATCATTGATGATACCATGAGGGAGTGGTCCCGCTAGATAGTCGGAGAGGAAACAAGGACTCGAGATCTTTAATGTTACGGAATGTTGACTTCTTCCACAAAGTCGTACATACACGTGATTGATTACTACAGAGACTTTAGTTTGTCGCTCAAGCATCTCGATCCTGGATATTGTTTAGATATTTGGTCCCAACTGATACTTAGGCTTCGTCCTGAGGCCTCTTCGCGTAAATCACCCACCTAGCCATGGTTAGTATTGAAGATATATTCAGAGACCAGATCAAGCCCAATCCGAAAAGTAAAAAACTAGCTATTGATTGAAGCAGAGCTAAAAGGATTCGGAAAGCTGACTTACATAGGCGTGTAATGATGGATGCTCCTGTCTTTCAGATCCTTCCGCACCTGAGCAAGTAAGGCTTGGACCTCTGCGTTGCTCCAGTCCAGCGCTCTGGTCAATGCTGCCATAGTCCAGGCTTCGAGACCCTGAGAAGAGTTCTCGAGAGCCCATTCTCCAAGCTCTTTGTAATGCGGGTCTTTTGCCCATGGACCAACCGGCCACTTGAAAGGCACAATAGTCACATCAAGGAAACCAGCCTCCTCCAGTATAGGAACAAGGCTGGGGACGTTCACGAATGGACGGCCAAGTATTTTGAAGCATTCATCGAGCTTATCCGCCCACTGCCAAGCAGCGTGATCTGGTGTCAAAGTCCCATCGTCCGACTGGGTACGGGCATGGCCTTCGAATAATTCGATATAGCCACCAGGGGCAAGGTTACTGTGCTAGGTTAGATCATGTTGAAGCCCACATTGGATCAGTAACTGACGAGTAAGCTTGTTTAAAGAATCCGAGCCAGTCTGAGATACTCGATGTCATCCCTCGAATGTGGATGTAATCAAATGGGTGGCTGAATGTCCATGGCTGCTCAACGTCGTCAACCTCAAATTTTAGGTTCGGTGGGACGCTAAAGCACGTTAGTGAATGTAAATAAGCCAGACAACCATAGAAGTTTACAATTGAGTCTGCACGGGGGACAGATCAACACCTAAAACCTGCAAACGAGTCAATCTTCAGTTCTATGGTGTCACGAATCAACCTACCTCGGCTTCGGGGTGCTCATCGGCAAATTCTATTGCCCAGAGACCAGTGCCTGTTCCGATGTCCAAGGCGCGCCTGACTCCCGAGCCTTCTTTGTTGGGGGGAGCGAGGCCCAGCTTGTAATCCAAAGTCAATAGGTAGAGGTTATGTTGTAGGTCTAAGAAGGTGATGTAAGCAAGGGAGCCGTAATGTCTGGCCAACAAATCACATACCAAGCCTGTCATTCTCTCTTTCGTCGTTTGGAAAGAGATATTCTTCATTGTGTTAGACGCTGGATTGTTCACAATAGGGGCCCGGAAGAAACTCACTCCCATCCTTGTACTTATGATAAGTTCTCCCGTTTTCTAAGCGATGTTGAAAGATCGAGCTTGATAAGCTCGTGCTTGAAGATGCCACACTCTGAGGTAGGTCAGGAGATTGAACCAAGGAGCACATGAGGATACTTTAGCTTGGGTCGTTTGCTTACTGACGCTCTGTCCGAGGCATCATCTTCTGTCAACTATGCGGAGGTGTCAGTATATCTTGAAAGACAACATGAGTCTTTTGCCATCTCTCACGTTGTTATTCTCTGCATCTGCCTCCAGAATAGGGCCATGATTAGGTGCCGGGGCGGAGCTGGAGTTCCCAGTGGGCTCAAGATTGTCGGCAGATGCTACAATTGGCGAAGCCACAGAGTTCTCGGCTCCAGAGGCTTTGTGAATGTCAGTCATCGTGGATGAAGATGGAACGCTCTGTAACCACAAGGGAACAATACTCTTCGAGGCAACACGAACGGGGCTCTCTCATTTATGTCTGTAGGTGGCACGCGCAAATTACCCCTCTTCTTGGCCAAACATAAGAATGCAGGCCTGTGGCATCTTGCAGGGAATCAATTTGCGTGTTGATATGTGACGTTGGTTACAATAAGCATGAGATATGCTCCAGCAGCATCTAGGGGTAATATGCACTAGGCAGCGGCAAAGTGCACCAACACGGATTCAATTTCGAAGAGACGTGGCTGCACTGAGGTGGATCATATGCGCAAATCATCTGTTTGCCCAGTCGCTTGCATGAAATCAGGACGGGCAGGCTGCGCTCATGTATTAGAAATACGAAGCAGAGCGACAGAGGTAAAGAGTCCTGGAAGTTCCATAGATCGTAGATCAAATCATGCGTCTTCCCTCCCCTCTAAGCTTGCTTCCACTCCTATCGACTCAAAGGGTGTGACATTCTGTGTCTGCATACGATCTTAAATTGTCTCGTCACCGAAAATGAGTCGGGGGTAGTTGACCTGATCTGTCGTGTCGGTATTTCCTTATCGGCAGTTCATCATACGGCGAGTTGTTGATGAACGCTGTTGACAAGCTCTCATTGACGACACTAGAACATTTGAGGCATTGGGGCACCTTAATTTTAGGGTTAAATAAGCGCTGTCTTTCTCCACTGTCAGCGCTCCGATTAAGTTGGGCCTGAGTTGAACAATGACAGAAAGCCATCCGGAGCGGGCCGGATTCTAGGTCTCAGTCATATTGCGCCTCATTTCCATGGGTGGCTGAACGCCTGTCGCACACAGACCAGACATGGCTGAGAACCATGAATCCTTCGATTTTCAACAGAGTATTGATGCCTGGCTGTCAGTCGCGCGTCATCCCATCATTGCTTCTCTCAGCCCCGGTCAAGACGCTTGAGACTTGGCCAAGAGCCCCCAGCGTGCTCGTGTTCATTTCAGAGCGTCTAAAATGAGGGCTGTGCACAACTAGTGCTTTATATGGCGCTGCAGGACTCCGTGGATCACGTGGAGACCAAAGCGCGACTCGTCGCTCACGATTCCCTGCCCAGACCCCGAGCATCCCGTCTCACCTCATCCATTTCTCTTCAGGCTCATCGGCGGCCATCATTAGAGTCATCATGGTCTCATTAGGCGGCGTCTTCCTTCTTTTCATGTTTCTAGCGACACAAGCGTTGTCACGCGATATTCCGAACAATGTCAAAGACTTCTATGGGTTCGTCCGCGGGCGGAACAAGTGCCATGATACGTTAGCAAGCGGGTTTCACAGCAGTGAGGGTGACAGCGGAGGTACGTGCTTCATCCCCTCAACGGCTCATGCTCCAAAAATGCTCACGAAATTCATTCATTAGATTTCAGCTACTGCGGAGACTACCTGGATGATTACAAAATCATATATCTCCAAGGGAAAAATGGCGAGTTGGCCAACATGGACGTGGACTGCGATGGCGAGCAAGCCGGAGGCGACGGACGTTGCGGCAGCTCCACCGACACTCAATCTGAGACGACATTCCGCGACCAGCTGAGGAGTTACGGGACTGGGCGACGAGACCTCAACGCCTCGGTACACACCTATGTTGTATTCGGAAATCAAGGTACTAAAAGCGGCTGGCCTACATTCAACCCAGAAAAGCATGGCGTCAAACCACTCAGCGTGATGGCTGTCGTGTGCAATAGCAAATTGGTAGGTCTACTGCTATTTTACTTGAGATCCTACTCTAATCCATCTTATGTAGCTGTATGGAATCTGGGGAGATACAAATGGTGATGATGGGCCTCAAGCCATGGTAGGTGAGGCTTCCATATCACTCGCCACTGCGTGCTACGGCAACAGTATCAACGGCAACTCAGGACATGATGACAATGATGTCCTATATATTGCCTTCACAGGCGATGATGCTGTTCCTGGAGCAAGCGGGGCAAATTGGACTGCGTCAAATTACGAGGACTTCCAAACCAGCATCTCAGATCTTGGAAATAAGCTCATTGAGCGTGTTGGGAGTGGGGGAAATGGCAGGCCCCTTGGGGACCAATGGATGCTCTTTTCTGCAATTTTCTTCGGAATCATTGTACTGCTATTGTAGTATTACCAGGAAAATGAACCAAAACTTTTACCAGGCACCCGAAAGACATTCCAGCAAGGTTCGCGGTACGATTTGATATTCGGACCAGTTGGGAAAATCCATAAGGATAGTGACTTGCCTGATGTCCAACAACTTTCTTCAGACCAAAGTCTTTGCACATAAAGAAATATTTTGAGCATGTGCTGTTCAAGTAATATTACTAATTTGCTGCAGACCTGATCCCTATGTTCATATTTGTCCCCTTAGCCAACGAACAGCATCTCCCCAAAACTCCATGTGCCTTACTAGGTACTTCTTGAAGAAACTTTGCATAACATATCGACCTGTTTAACCAACCAGTAGTTCTCATGCCGGATTCTTTCCGGCTTCACGGGTGTGAAGTCAAAAGTCTTAACCAAGATGGGCACAAGCTTGTTGATTTCCAGCAAGCTGATGTTTTTTCCAATGCAGGTACGGGAACCTACCCCAAACTAGAGACGATCAATCAGTAATGACCCAGGGAACTTCAACCAGTATTCGACTCACCGGTATCCAATTCGATTCCATGAGAGAAATGTATTCTTTGTCTTGACTAAACCACCTATCAGGGCGGTATTCATCGGCATCGGCACCGAAAACATCCTTATTCCGGTGCAGGACCCAGGTATTCACGCCTACAACGCACTACATTTATTTTAGTCAGTTAAATTTACCCATATGGCCCAACAAGGTTGTAGTAATGGGACTTACACCCTCGTTGAAGTCTATGCCCAGAAGATTCACGCCACCTTTGGGGACAACACGGGCTAGCGGAAGTCCTGTTGCTGGATGCAGTCTGAGTGACTCTTTGATGCAAGCCTGGAGAAAGCTCATAGCTTGAGCATCTTTGAAAGGGATGAACTCAGGGTTGTCTAGCTCTGCAAATTTGGCGTCGATATCTTCCCGAAGCTGTGATGATTATTAGAAAGATCTTTCGAGCTAGGCGGAGCGTATCTCTTCGCTCATGGAAAGTCGGCCACGTACCCTCTGAAGCACTCTGGGGTGGGACGCAAGGTCATAGATAACAGCGCACAGGGATATCGAAGTTGTATCAGAGCCAGCTCCAATGTTGGTCATACATGTCGTAAAGACGGCGCTTTCTGGGAACTTTCCGGGATTTTCGTGGTGTAGACGGAAGAGCTTGGACATGAAGTCTTGCCTGTCTGGGCTCCCCTTTTCCATGTCAAACCGGGCTTTGCCCTTTTTCAGCTGCTCGGCGGTGAAGTTAACCCCATTCATCAGCTGTCCTGGTGGGAGTTTGGACAGTATCCAGTCGAGGGTTCCATGTAGCTCGTGTTCTATTCCCACCATAGCGCAGTACTTGAGGTAAACGTGTTGACTAGCGAAGATTTCCAATCGATCGCTTCCTGTATCAAGGCATCCAAATCTTTGCCCAAGCTATATGGAGTGGGTGAGTATGTGTGACAGGACTACGAATGAGACAAGTTTACGAAGAGAGACTTACTGTGATTTGACTGACAACATCGAATGCATAACACTGCATCCAAAACTGAAGGTCGATGGGATTTTGAGTCTGACTCAAGTTTCCAAGTTGCTTCACGAAGACTCTCAAACAGTCTTCGACATCGGACTCCATTGCTCTAAGAGAGGTGACAGAGTAAAGGTTCGCCACGAGACGCCGATTTGCAGCATGACGTGCACCATCTCGATCCGTGAAGAGGTCTTGCCAGGGAAGACCGACTGGACTTGAGGCCTCGTACCATGCGGACTAAGAAGCAAATTATGTCAGTAAGGCAAAATCACTCCATGGTCTCGATGATACGTGCCTTGATAAAGCCCTTTCCAATACCATAAATCGTCTTGATTACGGCCGGGTCATTGATACTATACTGCTTAGGAGCAATCCGCACTATGGCTCCTGTCAGGCGAATCATCTTGTAAGCAAAAGGCTATAATAGTCACACCCGGGAATAAAGATCACATACCGTATTTCTCATGGAGCTGAATATTGCGATGATGAAAGTTTCCGTCTCTCACATGTCGAAAATACCAGAGCCTTGAGAAGCGAGCCTCTAATGGACCAGGCAGCTTCCGAAGAGACGAGAATGTCTCTGTGATAACATCTACTGAGGCCCAAATGAGGATGACAAGGAAGAGGAGGAGAACAGAGATCCATGGTGTGAGAGTGAAAGCCGAGTTACTTCGATCCATTGTGATTTGCGATTGCCTGATCCGCGTCTCGGACAGCTTGAAGTACCTTAGGAAAAGAAATGATGGTGAATGGTGTTGCGTAATAGCTGTCCAAAGTAGCTGTCAAGGCTACGTATAAGATTAAAGCTTCTATTCTCGATGGGAAATTGTTCGAATGGGCAGTACCAAAGACACTAACACTTGAGTTTTCAGTGGCGGCTGGAGTTTAGTAAGTCTTTGGCCGGCAAAGTCAACACATTTGAAAAGGTACAGATGACCTAGGTTCTATACTGAAACACTTACCTGGAAGAACTTCCGAAAGAAAGCCACATGAGATGTAACAATTCTTGCCGGATCGAGGTTCAGGTTGATCTTTTTCGCAAATAGCTGCAGGCAGGTAAATTTATGTCGTCTTCGCACCCCACAACCCATTTGCTAGTATAAATCCAGGCTGGTCACGCACTCGAGAGTGACTTCACTCATTGTGTGTATGCTCGACCTCTAAGTTCTGTGTCCGGAGTCCGTATCGCATCCGCTAGCTAAGCCATGCTGCCCAGCTTCGACCATGCTCCCCGAAACCTTACCCCGCAAGATCTCAACAACGCATCGCTAGGAGACCATTTGATCTGCCCGTTACCCCACATGGTACTACTACTAAGCATACGGGGTATGCCATGTGGCTAAGCCATGGCAGTAAGATAACAAGGGCTGTCATTATCACTTGCTTTTGGGATACCTTATTGATGCCTCTCTGCTCATGGCAGGCACTCTCTTGGTCTTTGTCCCCTGTACGCGAAACAGCGTACTTTAGAGCCGTGCCACTACCTGACTCTTTCGAAACCCACTCTTAGTTCTCGCACATCAATCATGGACATTGGCAATCGGAAAGTTATTCGTCACTCGAATGGGCAAACAACTGCATACATTCTCGACTCTTTTATTGATCCTTGGAAACCAGCTGAGACCATACTACTTCAACATGGTTTCGGTCGAACCTTAGACCACTTCTATCATTGGGTTCCAGCCCTAGCTAGAAAGTACAATGTCTTGCGTCGCGATCTTCGAGGCCATGGCGGCTCAAGCTACCCAGGCCCCGATGACGACGAGGTCTACCAATACACAACCACCACGATTGTAGATGAAATCAAAGACACCTTGGATCAGTTGAACATTGAGAAGATTCACTTTGTTGGGGAGTCGACGAGTGGCATGCTCGCAGAGATCTTTGCGGCAACATACCCAGAACGCGTAAGCTCTATCATTGTGTGTTCATCGCCGACCCATTTGCCGGCCTCGGCACAGCAGTTTCTTGCTTTTGGCCTGGAGTCTTGGCCCCAGGCATGCCGCCAACTGGGATCAAGAGGTTGGGCAGAACGACTTCTTGGTGCGAGCGGCACTGTGGCGAGTAGTGATCCCAACTATCTTGCATGGTGGAAGGACAAGGTTGCTGTCAGTGACGGAGAGGGGCTGGCAGGATATGCTGAGTTCTTGAGCCGGCTGGATGCTCAGCCGTACTTGGGGGATATCAAAGCTCCTATGTTGATCTTATCGCCTACAAACAGTGCTCTTGTAAGCGTTGAGTCCATGAAGAAGCTGACTGCAGAGGTCGCCTCATCGAAACTAGCAATCATCGAGTCTCAAGGGCACGAAATATACGCTGAGGCTGCAGAGGATTGTATTTCAAAGATTAGAGACTTTCTAGAAGAACTTTAGATTTGAGATGCTAGTCATTCGCTTATCAAAGAGCTTGGTAAATACGCCTATTTCTCAACTATTAATAGATGCTCCACATATGATCTTGTGCTGGATGGTTATCATATCCTAGAACGATGATTACGATAGAAGTCATGGATATTTCTCTCGGCTCAAAAAGATTTGAATCCTGAGCTCAGGTTGTCAAACGTACGTTTCCTCGGAGATAACATAGGCTCAATATTTAGGTACACTACATGTATTTAGCTAAGAGCCTGAATTCCCCATTTTCTGATATTTTCTATCCACAATCCAAGTTAAGTCTTTGAGTTTGTGACGTAAAGGTAGACCGAGGAGCCGTCACGATCCTGGAGAGAACGTTAGTTGGCTCACTTCTAGTATATACGTCACATTTTACTTACGATACAGCGGGGGTCCTTGGAGGCTTTTTCAAATACTTCATAGGCCGCTTCTGCCATCGTCGGCTGGATATTCTCCTGTTTTGCAGCATCAATGCCCAGAGACAGATCCTTGAGAAACATCTGAGTCTTGAACCCCAGCCTCCAGTTATTACTACTAGGGGCATGTGGGATGACGCCAGGGACTGGACAGACATTATCTCCCATGAATGTTTGACCGGTAGAGTTGTGAATAATTGTCTGAAGCATCTTTGGATCCACTCCAGACTTTACTCCGATTGCCATAGCTTCAGATATCAGAAGTAGAACAGAGCAGGAGATGTAGTTGTTGCTGATCTTAGCAGCAAGTCCCGAACCAACGTCACCGCACCAGAAGAGCTTTTCAGGGTCGCCCATCATTGAAACTACCTGACGTAGTCTTTGAGATAAGTGATCTTCCTTATCATCAGGTTTGCGTCCAATCATGAATGAGAGAGTCGCCTTTTCCGCTGCTGGTACGCCTCCCTGGGGCAAGTTGGAGTCAGAAAGCGTCGTTGCCATTGATGGCTCAAATGTACTTTATGGAGTCACACATGTTGGGAAGGAATACTCACGGAAACAGGGGCATCAACATATGTCCCTTGAGAAGCCTTTCGTATCTGATCTGCCACGTGCCTTGCGGTGGTAGTATCAATAGTACTACACTCAATCAACAGTCTTTGTGGGTTTTTGGGAGCGGAAATGATGCCATCTCCAACGTCGAGATAGACCTTCGATACTTCTGGTGCTCCGGGCACCATGGAAATCACCACATCTACTGCGGCAGCAACTTCGCGTGGACTTGCAGCGACTTCTACCTGTCCAAAGCTTGAAAATTGCTGAACAAACTTCTCACAGGCTAGTTTGTTGACGTCAAAGACATGAACGGTAGATTGACGCTTCAAATTTCGACGAATCGATGCAGCCATGGGATAGCCGATGGCACCGAGGCCTATGGGAGTCAGTGGTCATTCGATATCCAAGACTGAGCCTTACCTATGAAGCCAATGTTGAAGTCCATCATTCCGGTATTGCAGAGATTTGGTGTATCTAAAACCTGTAGAACTGATCGTATTGCTCAGAAAGACGAGAACGATCATGGGCATAAGGATTCAGGCATGCAATCCCAGATGTCAGCAATTGAATTGTCCTCAGAGGGGTCCCCGCACCGCACCTCTGACAGGCACTTCACAGTTGGTTGCCACAGGCCAAATCAGCCCAACCATCTTTTCCCCCACATCACCCCGCATCCGCCCGCCTAACGAGCAGTGATCAGTCAACTGTACCTACACAATGGCAGCGGGAAGAGCCCGTATTGATAGCGGCTATAGATGCTCAGAAGCATCGGAGGTCAAAGCCGCCTTCTTGCTCGTTTGGCACGCACATCCAGCAACTACATACACTCTGATCACCAACTGAACCACCATGGTCAAGACTGACGAAAAGCTGAAGGTCGGGGTCATCGGACCGGCCGGTTTCGGGGGCTCTTACTTGGTTGTCGAACTCATTAACCGCGGGCATCGTGTTGTCGGACTGTCTCGCAACCCACAGAAACTGGGTACTCATGAGCTCTACGAGCCGCGGCCCATCAACCTTGAAACATCCACTGAAGGAGAACTGGCTGAGGCTATCAGTGATCTTGCGGTTGTGGTGTGCGAATACGGGCCTCATACAGCAGGTCACGAAGCCTTGCAGTACAGTGAGTTCAATGCTGCTCAAATTGGCCCGTAGCAATGGTTTGTCTGACCAGGTAATATGGCAGTGCCGTTCATCGAGATGATCCGAAAAATCATACTGGCCGTCAAACGCGCCAAAACAGGATACTTCGTGATGGTCGGTGGAACTGGCAGCTTGCATGTGCCTCATGAAGACGGCGTTTGCGTGGCGGATAGCAAGGACTTTTTCTTGGCCTACCGCCGTGGGATTGCGGACAGTCATGCTCATGTCACATACATGGAAGAGAGGCTTGGACCGATAGGACAGGCCTTGAGATTATACCGCGACGCTCGTCTTCTCCTCAAAGAGGATAGAGGAAGTACCAATGAGAAAGAGGCAGCGCATGAAACGATAAATGCCTACGAAGCTCAACTGAAAGCGCAACAAGACGCATCGAGCAGCTTCATCAAAGCTGCGCGAGCTAGTCTCATGTTTTTCGAAGGCAATACATCCTTCGACTGGACGTATGTATCCCCGAGCGCACTATATCGTCCCGGCAGGCGTACAGGAAGATACGAGATCACTATAAGCAATTTGCCGCTGAAGGATGGCCCTGATGGGGACAGTCCTCTGGATGGGAAGTTGCTGGGGATTTCGGCAGCGGATCTTGCCATAGCCATTTCCGACGAAGTCGAGTCACGAAAGCACAAGCAGCAGCATTGGACAGCTACCGGGGACTTGACAGATGACACCCCCGCTCCATCGTATTTGACATTGAATTGAATGGGATCACTTTTTCCTTGCATAAAACATACTGTACCAATACACCCAGTGATATGTGAATGCGGAGATCTAATGTGCCTACTTTATCCATGTTGCTCTTTTGCTGTATTTGGGGCTCGACCGCTATACCCCGAGTTGGAGACAGCCCGCACCGATGTGGAGTACGCTGAAGTTCAGGCAGTTGGTGTACCGTGGCTTCGTGATAACAGAGGCAGCCCCGGCCGCTGTGGTTCCCCCAAGGACCTGATCAATCTAGACTTCTACAACAAACGCGACAACGCAACGCAAAAATGTCTGCCTACACTGTTAGCGATTCAGAATTCCAGCAGTTGGAAGGCAAAATCATCTTGGTCACTGGAGGTGCAGCCGGCATTGGAAGAGCCATTGTCGACCTTGCCCATCGTAAGCAACACAGTATGAGCTTTTAGCGCTGTGCTGACCGTTCCGTGATAGGGCATGGGGCAAAAGTAGCATTCTGTGATGTTGACGAGACTCGAGGAAAGCAAGTTCAGAAAGAGCTCGGCAAGTAAGTCGCATTATTGTTTATGGTCTTCTTATGAAGCTCCCCATGCAAGGCACGATGTTTGGCTCATGCTCAAGCGTCGACAGCGTCTTCTTCAAAAAATGTGACATCTCGGACTGGAACGACCTTGTCAGCTTCTTTCAAGATGTTCATTCAGAGCTTGGTCCCATTGATACCGTCATTTCGAATGCAGCAATCAACAAAATCGAGACACTTGACGAGCCGGGCTCTGGGGCAGACTGGTATCTTCAAAAGCCAGATGTTTCGGTTCTCAATGTCAACATGGCTGGCACTTGGTATGTGACCAAATGTGCCATTGGTTTCTTTCGCAAAAACCCGGAAACGAGATCTCAACTGGTTCTATTCGGGTCCGCTGCTAGCTTCTTCGATACACCACCCTGCTACACCTACTGTGCCAGCAAAGCGGCTGTTCTGGGTCTTATGCGCGCTATGCGGACTCAATTGCCGAAGATGAACATTACTGTCAATATGATCGCACCTTGGATGACAGGTGAGTGCGCCCTTACCCCCTGAGGATTGCTCGAGCAGCTCCCGAATGCATTGACACGAAGCTGAGCCTTGTAGATACGGAGATGGTCACCGATCATATCAGAAGTATTTGGAAGGAGTTACCTGCAAATACGCCAAAGGACGTTGCCACAGCAAGCCTGCTACCTGCTATGCGACCTGAAGTAAATGGAAAGTCTTTCTTCATTCACGGCGGGAATATCAGTGACCTGGAGAACAAGCTTGACAAGACTCAACCTCTATGGTTAGGAACCGACCTCGATAAGCAGATGAGAGAAGGGCAGCGTAGACTAATTCCCTAGTTAGATTACGAAGTGATGGCAAGGACATGGCTGTTAGTGATTGTTAGTATTCCTTCAATCTTATGTTTGCGGAACGGAATCTATGTCTACTCTAGGTACGAATAGAAAACTGCAAAATATGTGTCCCTCAATGTTGTGATTTCTTAAGAGTTACATTCGTATTCCCACTCAATGTACTGACAAAGGGATACGATGTAAAATGCAACCACTCCAAAAACGAGACGCTTTTTGCTAGTAGGGAGACATTCATATTCGTAACGGGCTTGACATCTAAGCAGTTCGCCAGACTCTTGTACAAATAAGGCCATGAGTTGATCAATGACCTTCTTCGAAGTTCTTTTCCCTCAACGTGCTATATTCCCTCCGAATAATTTCTTCATGTGCGACAGAGCGGCATGAAATGGAGCATTCGAAAGGCTCAGGGACACTCAGAAAACCTGGCATCATTCTAGTTATGGGGACATTCTTTCCCCCGTTGGGATCTTCTTTCCGCTCAATATTGAATGCCCACAAGATGCGAGAAATAGCAATAAAGAGTGACTTCTCAGCTAGATGGACTCCAGGACATGCACGTCTGTCTACATGTTAGTCATGTGCATGTACCGTCATTCCAAGACAATCAGGTTCGGGATGAAACTACGTACCGGCCAGCACCATAGGAAAAGTGATCGCGCTCATAGGGATCCTGCGAGTTCATGTACTCCGCTGCAGAGAGTGGACTGTTGAGGAACCGAGATGGATCGTATTCATCGGCATTATCGTAGCGACTTGGATCACGCTGGATAGCCCTAAAATTTGGCACTACGTATTAGCCGAATTTCTCGGGAACATGTGGATTGCATGTAATTATTCACCACCAATTCAGGACGACCACAGAGTCCTTCGGGATGAAGTGTCCTTCGTACCAATCGTCCTCGGTGGAAGCGTGATACATCCCAAATTTGTTGACCGGGCGCCATCGCAAGGTTTCTTTGATCATCGCCCGAACGTAAGGGAGATCTTTCTCATCTTCCCATGTGGGCATCCGGTCGCTTCCGACGACACGATCGATCTCTTCTTGACCCTTCCGCATTGCTTCGGGGAAAAGAGTCATGGCCAGGGTCCAGTTGTTGATAGTCGTAGCTGTTGTCTCGGAACCCGCCTCTACCAGACCACCGCAGGTATACGCCGCGAGCAAGTCGTCGATGCCGTTCTTTTTGGGGTCACCGAGGTAAAAGTCCTTGCAGAAGCAGTCCTTGGCAGTGCCGTCATCCGTTGTCTTCTTCAAAGCCTCCCAAAGCTCAAGCCAAATCTTGCTGTCGTGAGCGAAGGCTTTCTTGCCCCAGGTGCGCCAGTTTCCCAAAAGGAACTCGGGAAGATTAGCCAGGCCGGGTAAACTCTCGACGGCGAAGGCGCCAGGAGCCATCATGATGGAAAGATTTTCCAGAACGCTGAAGATCTTGGAGATGATCGGGTCTTGGAAGGAAGGAATGCGATACCCATAGGTAGCTAGCATGATAACAGAGGTAGAATAGCGCCGATTGATGGTGTAAAACTCATCGGGCTGATCTAACAGGTCATGAAGGACCACTTTTGACTCTAGGTCTTGCGATGGCATGTACCTCTTCGAAGCATTCAAGTTGAGAAGTGCGTGACTGTGCTTTCTCAGGTTCCTCCAGTCTTGCCCGTATGCCATGAACAATTGTCGGGACTTTCCACTTGCAACATCCTGCGCTAGCGGGAGATGCGGCCGTGAGGAGTATATTGCCGACTTCTTGTCCATGAGATCTTTGACAGCTCTTGGCGATGAAAGCCAGATGTAGTCAGTCGCCCCGACCTTCGTGTAGAAGATATCGCCGTAGGTGCGATGCCATTCGCGGACTTTTTGGCGCACAAGTTCTGAGTCTGCGAGGTCGTAGAGATTTCCAAGGATTGGGAGCCCTCGAGGTCCGGGCGGTAATTTCTTCCTTCGTGGATCCTGTCAAAGAGACTCTTGATCAGCATATTTAAGTTTGAAGGAGAAACATGTACTTACTGTCAACTGATTTGGAACATAGCGAAGATAACAACCAAGCAGAATCAGAACGATTGTCAGGCCAATACCCCCGATATGGATTGAGCCTTCTTTCGGAAGAATAGGCATATTTGGTAAATGAATGTTCACGAATTTCATTTTGCGGAAGGGAATCTGAGCTGTGAAACTTGGCTGGATGGATATCTAGTATGATGTAGATAATCGACGAGTGATGAACAATTCCATCTATGAAATCTTTGAGTAGCACTAGCCAGTCTCAGAAGAACTGAGCTAGACTTTGATTCACACAAGACCGCCCATCCGTATGGGCCTACATAATGTGGGGGGCAGGGGTAGTGTCTGGGGAGCTACAACAAGCCCTGGTAGATGCGGGGAGCTTCGAAACTCTGCTGCTTCGTGTTAGAATCCATGTCACTGGGGAATGCAAACCTCATCCTGAGTGAGTGAAATTTTGAGGAAGGAAAACAAGGAATAGTCGGAGTGATGTTGAGACGACTCGAGTTGATCTCACGCAGCCATTACCTGCTGTCACCATTCTGTCGGTCCTGACCAACTTACGTCGGCAGTCACCAATTCATCACGATCATAGGCCAATTTTACAGAATAATACATGATAAAACTCAAAGAAAACATCAATCTTCGACACGTCTATTGGCGTTTATTGCATGTATCGAAAACTGTCTTCCTATCCGACTCCGTGGATGCATAACACCCCGCAACCGACTTGACCACATCCTTACTTCTTCTTTTCTTCGTTCCAGGCAATAATGACCTTTTCGGCAACTTTGAACCCCTCGATACCAGCTGGCATTCCACAGTAAATAGCCGCTTGCAGCAGTGTCTCCCGAATCTCTACTTCACTCGCTCCGTTGTTCAGTGCTCCACGGACATGAGCTGCAAGCTCGGGGGCTCTGTTCAGAGCGCATAACATGGCAATGTTTAAGAGAGATCGCTGCTTTCTCTCCAAGCCTGGCCGAGCCCAGACCGAACCCCAGCAAGCTTCTGTGACGAGCTCTTGCATCGGCCTGGCAAAGTCGGACGAACCACCAGCCAGAGCTGCGTCGACGTAAGAAGTCCCTGCGACCTCATATCGGAGCTTCAGTCCTTTGTCGTAAAGTGTCTTGTGGGCTTCCGCCTCTTTCGCAGTGTTTGCTGCAAGCTTGTCGGCCATGTTGGTGTTTTCAGTGCTAACGGGCCGACGTGTGGGTTGTTTGAGAGTTGATATGCTGTGAGAATGGTCCGGAATCTGGAAACGTGCTGGTGAGATTTGGGCCCAGCTTGCTAGCACGTATCGTACGACTGCTGCTACCTTAGTTGGGTTTACATGAAGGTCTCATTTCAACTACCAAATTGCCACAGGGAGGCTGCTTACATGACGGTTGTGATTTTCCGGATCCCTTCCATATTCTTACCCCATATCAGAGCGAACACTCTCTCCACATAACCCCACATCACCACGGAACGGAGACCCGAATGCACCCCGCATTATGGTGGCGGGGTCCTGCTTCCGTGCCGTCACTTCGTAAACCGGAGTGGGGAATCGGCATTGTAGGTCTGAACTAGCCATGTCCTTGCTTGACTCGGGCTTTGGCTGTAGCAAAGTCGCTCGCAGGGAGGAAGGTGCAACGGTTTCACTGGGAGTCTGCTGGGCATGTTCAATTAGAGAGACGGTTGAGGCAGTTGAGCCCCCACGAAATTGGAACATCTATTGAGTTGGACCAATGAGGACAGGGCCTTCTCTAACAGAGCAAGTCTGGTTGTAGAGAGTTGTTTGCATTGATTGGAAGCCAGGAAATAGATCAGAGAATTCGGAACGAGTCAACATGAATATTCTAGAAGGCTGCTCTGTGTTTACCCAGATTCAATCAACTTGCCAGTCCTCGTTGCCTCCAATGTATCTGTAAAGCACGCGAGAGTCAAGATCGCGACATTTGGAATCTTGACTCGCCTCCTTGTAGGCTCTGAGGCCAACAGCACCAAGGATCAACTTTGCGTCAACCTTATCCGCCATAGACACAGCTAAGCCAAAGTCTTTTGCCATCAACTGAATCTTGAAGCCGCCTTGATACCCGTGACTTGCTGGGGCATTTGGACAGATGCCAGGCACAGGATTCCACTTGTCGCAGATCGTGCTTTGTGCAGTACTGTTGGAGAACACGCGCGCGAGGAGTCGAGGATCGATGCCCGCTCTCATCCCGATGTTCATGGCTTCGGATGTTGCAAGTGAAATGAGCGCCGAGCAGTAGTTGTTGCAAAGCTTTGCCGTAAGACCCAAGCCTGGGCCGCCACATGCAATGATATTCTTGCCCATGAGACCCAGTAAGTCGCGAATTTCTGGCCAGTTCGGACTTTTCTCGGAGCAACCAATCATCAGAGTCAATGTAGCGGCTTCCGCACCGAGGGTGCCGCCAGATACAGGTGCATCACAGAAGAATGTGGATGGAAAGTGAGATTTGATAGTGTTAGATACCAGCTGGGACGTCTCCGTGTCGATAGTTGAGCAATCGATGAGCAAGCGGGACTTCAGCTCAGGACCCAATATCCCGGTGTCTGGGTCCAAGTAGACGGTTTTCACATGACTGCCCTCTGGAAGCATTGTGAAGACTATGTCCTATATTCCCATTTTAGTCACGCGAGGTGGAGGTGGTGAAATATGATTGACCCGGTGTCAACTTACAGCCCTTTGTGAAACTTCTCTCGGAGACTTGCACCCTATTATATCTGCATTCTTTTCCTGATCGACGAGTCTCTTCATGGAGGTCTCTGAGATATCGTAGACGTATGTTTGAGAACCCTTCGCTACCTTGGCGACGAGATTGGAGGCCATGGGCAAACCCATAGCCCCAAGGCCAATAAATCCTAGGCTTAGTGGCTGATCCATTACAAGAAAGAAGAGCGTGCAATGATGGGAAGGAGAAGCTCTTAGGTGCGCATGAGTGTTGGTGTTTGTCTTGTTGATATTTCCAGAAGATATATGGACCCAGTCCAAGGTGTGAAGGCTTGCTCAAGTAATCAAGCGAGTTTGAGGTAGGTAGGCCGTTGGGGCGGGGTAAGGAAATAGGTAGCTACTAGGTCAGACCGTCAGCTGGCAGATTCGCACAGCACATCTCACAGCATGAGAGGGCACGTGAAACAAGCGCAAATCTGGAGAGTCGGAGACACTGTTGATTTTGCAGAAATCTGACTAACGCGGTAAACCCTTTCATAATCGCTGTGTGATTTGTGTCTTGGGGCTCAGTCTATCTTGCCAGGGAAAAAGGCTCCTTGGTGATCTTGTGCCCAAACTGCGTCATGAGCAAAAACTACCTGCAATACGAGATTGCTTTGCTTTGAGGTTTCTCGCAACGTCGAAATGCTGTTGAGTGTGTCCGTAGCCTCTCTTTTGTTCACATGGATACAACACGCTCGACCCTCACCATCTTCCCACTCAGCTATCTGCATCTCGCCTGTCAACAGACGAGCGTCGTGACAAGCATCCCCGATAAGCATCACCCAGGATTGAGGTCCTACTCTTGCGAGAAGTCCAAGATGTCCAGGCAAGTGGCCCGGCAAATCGACAGCAAACAAGGAACCATCGTCGCTTCCCCCAATATCCAGTATTCCCAATCCCTCCAAATTCTTCCAACGTTTTGTAACCCCTGCTGCGTCTACGTGTTCTCCGGGGCCCGTGATCTCTTCAACCCTGAGGCCGTCGAAAAGATCAGACTGGAAATTAGAATGAGACATATGCCCATTTATCCCCTGGCTGAGCAATACAAGCGATCCTTGACCAACTCGAAAGCGAGCGTTCGGAAAGTCAGAAGGAGTCCCAATATGGTCCCAGTGAACATGGCTGAGTATGACTTCGTCGATAGCTGCCACATCAAGACCTCCATCGATCAGGCTCTGTCGGACGTCCGGTAATAAGGTCATCGGCTGACGATTCTTTGTGTGGTTTTGTATCGGCGTAGAATAGCGTTCAATATCCCGTCTCAAGCCCAGATCGTAAAGAATGCGTCGATGACCCCCTTCGAATAAATTCTGCGAGATGAGGAAAGAGAGTGATGGCACAAGCGAGGTCTCGTCCTCAGACACCCCCGCGACGAAGAACCGCTTGGGGAGGGTGAACTCGCCGCCTCTGAGAGCGGAGACTTGGACCTCCCCCCGTGCTTTCGACTCCAGATCTTTAAGGGCAACTGCCATTCCATCGGATCTGGACATGTTGATTTGAATTTCTTGCGTATTTCGAGATGAGGCCGGTGGGTGAAGAGTATAGGTAAGACGTGTGGGTGCCAACAATTCAGGCGGCGATAGACCGCTACTTGCGGGGTAGCTGTATGGCCCAATCCTGCGTCTCCGTGCCAAACTTTAGGACTTAGCTGGGATTCAGGACCTCCGCGACTGATCTGTATCGAAGCTTCTGAGAACGCATCTAGATACAAATGTATTCCCTTCGATCCGCCCTTTCACAATCCGACTAGCCTGTCATATCCTGCCCATCCTTGACCCATCGAAGCTCCACACGAGGATGGTCAACTCCGACGCCACACTTCCTGATGCCACCGTGCTTGAAGTTTATTTAGTAGAATGCGATTGATCTACAACTGAATTTGTTTTCCCCTCAAACCCCTTGGAGTCATGACAATGTACATCGCAACATGTGGAGAATCTCTGCATCTAGATCCCTTGGTGGAGGGAGTGAGATGAGTTTAATGTATGGTTCCCAAGCCATCATTACAGCGCTTGAGGTAGTTGACCACTAGCAATACACGTTTTGCAACAAAGAGATTTGTTGTAAACTTCCACCCGTCTTTTCCGCGTTGTACGTCACGCCGGTAGGTTTACGGCAGCTGGCATCATACGCGTCTTGATACGCATCGGCCAGTTGGCTCAGTATTCCTCCCATCCGTGGCGTAATGCCCCACACCCAGACCTAGGAAGTTATCAGTATATCAGTTTGCAACGATGCATGAAAACAAAATATTATCACCTACGTCTGACAGAAACCAGCCCCACGTCCTGGCGATTCCGGCAGCAAGAGTCGTGCCCTCCCCGATATCGCACTCGGCCTCATCTAGAGTCTCTCTGATCAAGGCTAATAGCTCCAGCTCGCTCTGAATTGGCTGCATCCCGGCTATCTTGTCCTGTTCTATGGACTGAGCCCATTTTGATACTAGAAGAGCTGTTTGCAGCAAGGAGATCAGCATCATGAACGGATCCTCCCAATCAGCTGTAAGGGTTATCTCGAATTCGCTTACCACCCGTCCACCCTGCCACAGCATGCTCAACACTCCATCGAAAAGCGGCAGTCTTCCGGACCAGAAGATGCCCCATCTTGACTGGAACAACCATGCCTTCGAAGGCTTTCGAAACCATCTTGAGAATGTGGGAGCTTCGTTCCATCCTGCCCATAATGAATGATGACACGCATGACCCAAGGTCCCTATCCTCAAGGCTCAACAAGCTGATTCGACAGGGAGTGGTGGATATTTTCGACAGCTTTGTGTAAGCTATGCGCAAGACTGCCTGGCAGTTGAATACAAGCGAGATTTCTTTGTCCTTCTCGTCTTCTTCTGGACGTGGTTGTCGTAGCTCGCTCCTGACGCCTTGGAGAAAAGCATCGCACCGAGCCAACGACTGCATAGCACCGTTGAGGAGCGAAGCTCTCAGAGGGTCTTGTTCATCACCAATATCATTCCTTGCAATCGAACGTGTTGAAGCGAGGGCCTGGCAGACTTGTAATCTCTGCCACATGTGAACAACGACCGCATGGGTCAAGACAAGGGCAGTAAAGGTCGACACGCGGTACGGTACCGTGTCGGCATGATACCTTCCTTCAAGTAGAATGTCAACAAGTACATCTTTGATTGTGTGTCGTCGACTGTATGGCGAGCTTTTCGAGGCAGCTGTCCGAAGCTCTCGCCACTCTGCAGGTGACCTCGCGTTCCACATCTTTTCATCTTGATACGCTTCGATATCCAGATCTTGGGTCGCATGAAATCCAGGATTGACGTCGTAGATCACCATAGTGAGGGTACTCTCTATGAAGATACCCCCCAGCGCGCGCTTCCACGACTCTAGCTCTATCCACGTGTGCCACGTCATCTCGGATGGTTCTGTTTCAGTGTTTTCTACCGCAGTTCGAGCTTTGTTATAAACCTTTGAGATTTTGAACGACGCTAGTAAGTATCATTGTCTCGAAGTAGTCTTCTATCGCTCATAAAGGTGCAGATTGACTCACCAAGGTGTAGAAGCCGTTGTCCTTCATCGTTGCGTCAACGAGATCCTTCTCCCCGCTCATGACTGCGTAAAAGCTAAGAAGAATTTTCGCTTGCACAAACCAAAGGAAGTAGTCCTTTACCATGGATTTGGAATTGTCCTTGGTTGGTTGAGGCACCTGTTCCACACTGCGGATTGATAAGTCATAAAGATGACGCGCTCGACGTCGGTCCAGGCGATAGAGAGCGCCGATGGAACAGATGGAAAGCACCAAGGGGCCCGGAGTGTGTGCCAAATCAAAAGTCTGCATATGAATGATGGGAAAGTGGCTATGAAAACTCGTCATGTAAGCAGATAGGAAGCCCTGCAACGTTTTGGCGGTGGGCAGTTGGAAGTCTCCAGCTGCTATTCTCAGCCGCGAAGACATGTCTTTGCGAAGATACGCACACGTCTCTTCGTCAAAGGTCACGGTCGGATATTGTTGACGCCCGTCTTCGAGTAGAGAAGGGAGATCGCTGCTAGCCGAGGGTATTTGGCAGCTAGCCCATCCAAGGGGGGCTCCGCTTGAAGGGTCCTCAGTATTGGGATGGCGTGGAATTCGTCTTCGATCATCTCTCTGCTCCGCGGTGTCACCTGGTATGGGCGAGAGGTCAAATGCGCCCATGCCGAGATAGGCCAGTGTTCTCGGTGAAAATAGCTCATCGTTTTCCGTGGATGGATCAGCAGCACCGCTCTTCTCCGGTGGATTTTGTGGTTGACGAGGGGGTTGTTCTCGTAAAGCGCCAGTCTCAAGTCCGTTTTCTGCTGGATATTTACTTGGCATCTCCACGGCAATACTTTCAAAGGGAAGATCCATGTTCATGAATAACGCTGGGTCTAGCGGTGGCAACTCTTCAACTGGATCGACGTCGTGGAAGTACTGAAGCTGCAGCAAGTTTCCTTCCTGTTGAGCATCATGCTGGAATATGTCTGCGGGACGACTTTCGGTGGCTCGGTTGAGAGTACTTGGATCCCTGCGCGTCTCGAAGGATTGGTCAGTTAATGGCTGAAACGACATCAACATTCGTTCAAGTTCGATGTCGGGATCGGCTGCTTGCCGAGAGTATGACTTCCGTCGTGAGTTGGCTCGGCGCCGTTGACTGGAACATGGTGATGTTGTGGAAGAAGCGACGCCATCGTCTGGCGACTGCGAGTCTGGAGATTCCTGGCCGGATCTTTCGTCTTCCTCTTGGTCTATGTTCATGTAGTCATCGCCTTTCGACGGGGAGAACACTGTTGCTTGCGCCAGTGGCGCGCATGCTACTGTCACCACATCTCCAATCTTTTCTTTTGCTTGCTCCTTCGCATGCAGAGTGCGCTCGTGTCTCGTAACAAGGTCCCTAGAAGCTCTCAATTAGCAGAAAGTCTTGTGGCTTGTCCGAGATCGGAAAGCTTCTGCCAATACGTACTTCCTCGCGTATGACTTGTGACAGTATCGACACACGTAAGGCTTCTCGTGCGTATGGGTTCTCTCGTGACGAATGCAGTGCTCGCTGCGCTTGAAGGCTTTCGAGCAGTGCGCGCACTTGTACTGGCGTCGTGGTCGACCTCTTCGCGCGGCGCTGGAGGGACTTCCTTCGGGCCCTGAAGACATGGACGTTTTGATTCTATGCTCCCTTTCTCTGAACGCGGTGATCTCGCCTCGATTGTTTACTTCCGTCGATTCGAATAGCTTCAAGCAGTGGATTGGTAGCCTCAATTGCCATGATGTGGTGTTGGCAAGGAACAGTACGGGCAGATCGGATTCCTGAGATGCCGACAGAGGCCGGGCTTGACTTGCGGGGGGACCAGGACATCCCCTACATTCTTCTCCGCACCTGATGCGTATTGACCCGTTAGTGTCCTGGGAAGTCTGAAATCCACGGCGTGCGACTCGCTGATGGCTGATGAATCAGGGCTGTGTCAGCTTCTTCCGCAGCGATGGGCCCCATCCTAGCGTCACATCTCTTGCACCAAACATTCGGCAGTGATGGGAGGGCGAACCCAGCAAGCTTTACGGCGCCTTCTGCACCCCAGAAGCCGCTAAGTGAGGTTTGTATTGGCAAAGGCTGGGGAAGACTGCGGGGAAGTGGCAGGGGCCAACGCTCACAACTTCACCAGCGATTACTCAAATAGCATGATGCGAGGGATCGTTTCTTAGCTACTACTTATCTGCCCAGGAAGAATTAGTTCCCGACGCTCTATGGCCTTCCATGTGCTTTTATTCTGTTCAGGACAGTGTCATCAAACATGGGGTGTAAGATTGACATCAACACAGCATCGCTGCCATCCTTGATGAACTCGGCATCATGGGCCATCGCAATGTGCATCCCATACTCCTCAGCTGCTTTTCTGAGTCTGGAAATCGTATCAAGTGCTTTGTCTAGATCTTCATGCAAGCAGAATCGGGATCCGTCGTCCATTTTGACGTTGGCGATTTCTCGGCGACCAAGAAAAATATCCCTGCTCGGAAGTAAGCCTGTTGTTCAGTGACGGTCGGAAGATGAGTCCATTGCAAGAGGCTCTTTGAAGGACGGCGTGGAATCCCTCAGGATGATGATACTTGACGGATATGCACTGACCTTGAATGACAGCAGTCACTTGCCATGACAATGCGTTCGCCTGATTCTAAATAGGCGCATGCTGCGAGATTTCCTGCCATATGTCCAGGGGCTTCGATGATCCAAAGACTGCCATCTCCGAAATAATCCAGTGCTGATTCGAATGGTCCCCAGGACTGCCACGAGCCTTCGAGCTCTTGAAAATTCTCCGTCCGAAATTTGTCATCGCCGAAAATCCGAGAGTCCCATTGAACCATCGGCTGGATTTCATCATTCTGGATATGCCCTGGAGAGCAGTGTAAAGCTGTCCCGCGGCCAAAGATGACCTTGGCGTTGGGGAATTCGTCTTTGATCGGACGACAGTGATCCCAATGTGCGTGACTGCTGGCCGGTCAATTGTCCTGGCATTCGAATAAACGTCCTTGGATTTGCCCATAGAAATACCTGAAGAGCACTGTGTCAATGTCCGAAGTTTTCACACCAATGTCTTGCAACTGTTCTGTAAGCCGTCGACGTGGTCCAACTGGATTGCAGCTCGTCCAGTGGTAATTCAACACGAACGGGGTATACATTTGCCGGTTCTGTTGGACGCCAAAGCGTGAGTATTGAACATCAGTCTAATTCTCTCGACTTACATCACTAATACCAAGATCCCAAAGGATCTTGCGGCCTGACGCTCTATGATGGATGTAAAAACACCAGTTGTAGAGGAAATATGGCCTGTCATGCCCATCTGCGTGGATCTTTGTGTCGTCTGTTGTAGTGAGACCTCCGCCATCAAGTAAGGTCAATTCGACAGCACTACCCGAGAATGGAAGAGTTTTGATGCCCTTCATGTTGTTTCGATGAGAGTATGTCTTGCCGCGAAATTTCCTTGGTAGTTACCCCAAGCCATCATGCGACCAGAACGGATGCGACCTGTCTTCATATAATAATGCATCAAGCTACCTCCACGTCAAAGCTCCCCCGCATTGTCTTGCGTGACATTTTGCATGTAAACAAAGCCACCAGGGTCCTTGTTCCTCAATTTGAGGCCCTCATTTCAACACTCTCGTTGGGATAGCGAGGTGCAGCACAGGATGGTCAATGTTGTTGCATGGCGAAGAAAGAATTTGCATGGATTATCATCCACTTACTTGATTGCTTGTTGCTTCAATTTTCTGAAGCTGGTTGTTTGTGAAACATTGGTTATTACCGCCACACTCTTTGTTTGCTCAATAGTTCCATGTTGCAAGCCCTTACCTCTCGACTTTCTGTTTGCTCACCGCCGTTTCGGCTTTACCGCGTGGTAAAAGGCGTCCATGTCGGTAGATAAATCCCAGCCGTGTCCTAGGTACTTGGACCTATGATAGCATCTGGCTCACGGAGAAGATATTTCCTCAGCAGAGAGCGATATGACACACTCTCAATCCTCTTGAACATAAATATCTAGTCTCACTTATCTTCATACTGCAGAATTCTATCCTGATAAATGTAAAGCTGAACATTCAGAGAGCTGGTTTCGCCTGTGCGTCGATATCGAAACCCTTGTATCCCGTAAACAGACTATCAGGATCCCACCGCCTTCGGATCTCCATGAAGCGAGCACGAGCTGAATCCGTCCATACTTTGATCTGGAATCACCTTGATGTCAACAGTGTTGTCGGCTAGGTTCAGTAAGGAGAGAACACATACCTCAGGTGAATGCAAGGAATTCTTGGATTGGTCAAAATCGGCACTGTAGATCCCACAGGCAACTGCTTCAGCCTTTTTGTACGAGGCCCGCATGGTTTCTCGTACTCGGGGCACAAGGGCAGGGTCCTTCCAGCCACTGAATGTTGATATATAGTACTGCTGAGGAATACTGAAGACAGCATCTCTCTCATCTGGTTTGATAGTGTCGCAGATATATATACAGCCAAAAGACGACTTCGTTGGCAACTCGCACATAGCGGGCTTGATGGCCTCAATCAACTAAACCGCAAATTAGCAGTGAATTAGCATCGGATCGCATTTGTCATTTGAAATTTAGGGTGGTTTTCCGTACCTTTGGAAGGGACACCGAAGGACAGTTGAGGATACTGTTGATTCCCCATTTCTGGCCCGGTGATTCAGGATTGATCTGTCGCTGAAGCTCGAAAAACTCCTCCCAGCTCGCTTCTACCGTGACCTTTTCCTCAGTAAGGCAGCCTTTGATGTTCTCAGGGACTACGTCCCAGACTTCTAACATTGCAGCAGCCTCGGCCAAAGTATCGGCGTAAGCGCAAACATTGATAGCCATCACTAAAGGTGATGATTCGGGAACAACTTCCGCCGCTTCACTGTCAAACAACTCCGGGTGAAGTACGCAGATGGCCGACTCGGTAAACTTTCTTGGCATAGCGTCATTTCGTTCGAAAGCAAATGTGATTAAGTTTTCGAACTTATCGCCAACAGTGAATGTTGTAGATCGCCAGAATAGTCGTTTCTTTGGTATAGTCCGACTCCAGATTCGGGTCACAACTCCAAAGAACGCTTGCCCGCCGCCTCGAGCAGCCCAGAAGAGGTCTGCGTTTTCCGTCCGGCTTGCTATCAATACTCTACCATCTGGAACAACAATCTCCAGTCGAACAATCCATTCTGTAATAGTAGCTCCCCATGCTCTCATGAAGAGACCTTGCCCGCCTGCTAGACAGAAACCTCCTAGTGCTACGTCAGGCGCATGCCCAAAAGGAAAGAATCTGTCGACGGCGTCTGTAGCCTTCCAGGCTTCATAAACGCGAATGCCGGGGCCCACCTCGACCTCCTCAGTGACTTCATCATATTTGACGTGGTGATTAATGTTGCTGACGTCGATAAGAACTCCGTTATGGACTAAGGAGGGTTTGGAAGGGAGGTGTCCTCCAGATCGAATGCCGACTGAGACTTTTAGCTCTCTGGCCCTGCGAAGTGCTTCGACGACATCCTGAGAGGTCTTTGCCACATGGATCTCAGTCGGATACCTGTCAGTCTCTTCTCTATTGAAGTAGAAATTCCGTGCTTCTTCGTATTGTGCGGTTCCACGTTTAAGAGCGTGGCCTTCGTCAGGATTAGAAGATGACATGTTGAAAATAATATTGCTCGTGATGCTGCTATGATCTACGTGTATTCATCGGGCAGGAGACATAGATTCAAGTAATATCTTTTCAATATGATTCAAAATTAGTCGCTGCTCGAGTTCAAGACTCGTAAATACCCCACATTGGGCCATCGTTGGCGGACAACCTATGTCAGAACCCAGCGGATGTGGGGGCGGGGATGGATCAACCGCTTGAGCCTACACGTATTCCTACCCCATGGCGCCGCGGGTGCTTATGCTAGGTCATTTTGATCGCCCTCTCATTAGATAATTTGTTTAGAAGAGCCTCGTAGTTAAGCATCGGGGGCGGTGCACTAGGGTTTGGTTCAAGAGCCCGCAACCTCAAGCTCATCTCACACTTGTATTGTCGGGCCAAATCGCTCTTCATTTCGAAGACCGATAAGCGGCAAACAGCGGTGGACATTGAGAGAAATGCAGAATTGTCCACCAAGACCTCGTAGATTTTCCAATCGATTCTTTCGAGAAGGCCTACAAGCTTCGAAGTTGTCGAGGTAGGCCAACAGACACGAATTGACTTGAACATCAATATCGATGTGGTTGAAGGGGGCATGCGACGGAAGTTTGCAATATTTTGAGATCGAAAGCATCAAAGACAATAGCATAGAATAGTCTCTTATTATCACTTAATATGATCTATTGCTTGTTTAAAAAGAGGAAGACAAAATGATTCTTTCGATAGTTTCTCTCCGCCGCCGATAGAGGAAATGTTCGTTTCATCTCATCAAGCTTTGACTGAGACGACCCCGAAACGCTCCAGAGAGCACAGCACCGGCCATGTACGAGATGGACATCTGAGAAGCTGATTGGCTCACCTTACTTGAGCTCCGGCCGTCTTGTCTTTTGATCAGATAAAACAAAAAATTGGTGGGAGCGAGCACCTCGTAGTTAGCGCTAGATACCAGATTGGCGGAAGTTTGCTGCGTGTCGGCAGCTTGCCACACCCTCCAAGTTCAACACTCTCGGCATGATGTTCTTCGGATCCCGAGCCAATTTGGAGTTAAGCTTCCTTTATGAGGCAGTCTCGATGCAGGTACGGTGCCTTGAGGGAGAGTCTACATCCCATGGTACA